TGATATAGATCTGAATGGCAGTTCCTCTTAGCTCAGAAACATTTTCCTAAATTGCTCTCCTCGAGTCTGTCTTGTTAATATAAAGTCCAAGGCATGATCAGTCGTTCCCATCGCATCACATTGACCATTTGAGAATGATTACTGAAATTTGAGTTGAAAGAGCCTTTGGAAATGATCTAGCTGTATGCAAACATTTCAGATTTTCACCCTTTTTTTTTTTAAGGAAGGCAGATTTCGTATGAATTGCACAAAAAGCAGCCAACTTTTCTTGAATATAGCATAAGTAGATATTTCAGGCACCACAGGGATAATGGTACTTTTAGAGCGGTATTATTTCTGCAGCTGTTTTACAAAAAAACCCTGAATTGGACATTAACATGTTAGGAAGGAAAATGCAGGGGTGATGGAGATGACCAGGTTCTCAAGACAGACAGTAGGGTGGCAAACTCTGTTGAGCTGCTGGCCAAAGTACCTAGTACATAAAATGAATAATTTTCACATTCACATTTTAAGAACTGATACCACTTTTCTCTGCCTGAGGTGAGGAAATACGTATGCCACGCGATGTTATGTGGATCAAGTAAGCACTCCTGATATTTCAAACCAGGCCTGTCTTAATGAGATGACATACTGTGCTCCACTGCTCACTCTTCAGTAATAAACCCCAGTGTTTAAAGACTGTCTGAAAAGTGACAGGGATTTCTGGGGGTTGAAGGTCTCTTGTTCTGACAGTGCAAAACTGTGAGGCTCCAGCTGAGGGCAGAGCAACAGGAATACCGTTTCTTGAACGTATGTTTTAAAAAATAGATATTGTGCAACATGTTAAGCAGACCCCACATTATAATGACAAGAAGTGCAGAAGGACTTTCGTAAACATAAGTGAATCAGCTGACAACTACCAAAGTGATCTTAAAATCCACATTGCAATTGTGGCTGGAAGTTTAAAGCAATGATGCCACCTTTTCAGTAAAATTGAGCTCTCAGGAGAGTCATTTCTCCTGCCTTTGGGTTTTAGATCGTTCAGTGCATTATGAATCACTCCTCTACAAAACCGCACATAGGATAAGCTCTTCTAGTATATCTCCCCCTTAACTAATGCAGGTCACCACTGGAAAAAATGTTGCATTTGAAGGGATAATACATAAGAGGGTTTGGTGTCCTGAGTTACATAATTCTGAATTTGGCTATGTGGGGAGGAACATGCAGAAGTATCAGATTGTTCCTTGAAGAATCTGTTTTAAAATGTTTGTACAAAGGTTTTTAATCGGCTCCCTCTATTTCACGAAAATACCCGCCAAATCTGAAAGGGCAGAGGACCTTCAGGACTTGTCTTCCACAAGCCTCATTTGGCCAAGACCACTGCACATTACAGATCCCCCAGGTGTTACGTAAGCACAGTCTCTTTACTGGGGGATAAAATCTCTCCCCTGTGGCAATAAATGATCAAATGCAAGTGCGTTTGTCTTGGTGGCTCTGGTTTTACAGGAGCAGAGATGGGTTCTTCAGCTGGAAGGGCAATGGCTGACCTCTGAAGAAATACTTGACCACCTTGCTGCTTTCTGTCATTCAGTGTAAGACTGTGCTTTTGCAATTTAAAGGGTTTCCTTTCTTCAAAGGCAAGCTAAAGGTGGCAGCTTGCCTTCTCTGGATGTAAACCAGAGTGTGTACTGGTGGATGGATTTGTCTGAGATGCCAGAGAGAATTTATATGCAATGGTTAAAACCTGCTGCCTTCTTTCGACTCACAGACACAAGGAAATAGCTTTTGTTCAGATACAGCATGGTAACTCCAGAGGAAAATACCTGAATATTTTCATAGAATCATAGAATCATTTAGGTTGGAAAAGACCTTTAAGATCGTCAAGAGCAACTGTTAACCTAGCACTGCCAAGGCCATCACTAAACCATGAGCCTAAGCACCATATCTACATGTCTTTTAAATACCTCCAGGGATGGGGACTCAACCTCTTTTCAAACACTTCACACCAGCATTTCTTGTGGTTGTCAGAGGTTGGGGAATGGATTCAAGACCAGTTAGCGATTGGCTGCAGCTACGACACTCCTGTTGCTGAATTATTTTTTTCTGTGTTTCTCTTGTCCCAGTCTGACACTTGCCTGCAAGGGCCGTTGATTAAGGAGATGAGTGACTTTGCCTGTTCTATTGATCAGAATAAATTACCGGCAGCTAATGTATGGACCTCACAAAAGTGCCTTTGACATGGTGAATTGTGCTCTGTTGTTCAGGTAATTGGGTTGTCAGGAAATGTTATTGGTTACTATACAGTTATCTCTTATAGAATATTGGCCTGTTTCATGGAAGTGGACAAAATCTTTTAGACTTCCAGTTCCCAGGATGTCATGAAGACTCTGAGTAAGAAGGAAATAAGCATTCTTCTTGATAGTAGTGACAGTAGAAAAAACGTTTTGACTGCTGTATGTTGGTTTTCCATCCCTGATTTCTGTAAAAAAGAAAACTACTTTTCTTGTACTTGCAAGTTCA